ATTGTAACCAGGGCAGGGATTCGTATTTACTTTTGGCCTTCTAGGAGTGGTGGTTGACTTTTCGTGATTTTCCTTGTTTCATGCGTACTATATACCCCTCCCGTCCCTCCCGACGGACGGCTCGATTCGATGAGGAAGGGTAGACAGAGGGCCGGAGAGTTGAGGGGGGGGGGTCGTACGGACTCGACCAAAATCCTCAACCAATGATGTGCCCTGATTGTAACAACTTGTTTCAGATGCAACTCACTCTCATCTTCCACTGGAAATTTGACCGGATCGTCAAAATCGCAGAAGCGTATTGTTCGACTGAAAAACAGCAAAAATGAGACAATCGGTGAGCGATTACTCTTTGCTTTCTATTTTTCTTCTTATTCTTCAACAGCGTGATGTTTGAAACTGAACTTTCCAACTTTCTGAACTTGAACTTGAACTGTCAACAAGTGTGGGGGAAATGTTCTTGCGAGAACGAGCCGCTGAAATGACCTCATTGCAATCCCTTCACTACCGATCCACTAAAAAAACACTTCAAAGTCTCCTTTGATGTTGCACTGTGGAACGAACGGGAGATTTCACTCTGAACAACCTTCATCGTTTTGTCCTTCAAATGTCAGTGAATGATTTGGAAATTGGCTCGAGTGAATGTCAAGTATTTCATTCGGGCGACCTTTCTACTTCAGTTTCTCACCGTACAATCAGTGAATTCACCGCTCGCTTTTCTTTTGCTATCAGAGATATCGCCATGTTGTAGGGCGCCCTCCTGTAGCGACTCTCCTCTATCAGAAATACGTCCCTGCCTATTTTTCATCTGAACCATCGCCGATATCGCCGCAACGCCCCTTGCTGCGCTCAGATATGGTCTGTACTCGTCAGTCTCCTCCAACCGAATTCGATATTGTAGAGTAGGGAAAAATTATGGACCTGTAGAGGGGCGCTATCATGCAATTTTCAGCTAAGGGGAAGGGAGGGCTGGTCACTGACTTCTTTTCTGGGATATTGTAGGGAAAGGATTGTAAGGAGGGGATACAGTCGGGCTCGCTGCGGGTGATGGGGTGTCGGTATCAAGAGGTATACTCGAAATCCCTGAGATCGGGTAGGCGGGGCTGAATTTTTTAACTTAACCTGGAGGTTTCTATGCTTCTGGTGGAATATTTCTATCTCGAACAACTGTTGTTCGTGTCTCTGTCCGAGCACAAATACAGATGACAGTTCTCCCAGATTGGAATATTCCACGAGTAACCAGTTCCGTGCCATGTTCGAATGCCACGCCTACTCTGGCTCAGGGATAAGGAGTGTAGCTTTGGCGCCCGTTCTCTATCATTAGCCGCAACCGTAGGCGGAAGCGGTAATTTGCTAGAAAACGACTGTCACGAACGACATGATGCAGTCTTGTCGTTGCCCCAAAAAATGAAAAAAGCTTAATAGCACCGCGCCAAACCGATTCCCCTCCGACATGCCCCATCGTCTCAGGGAACAAGACTGTAGAGTGGGTCGTTGAAGTTGGAAGTGGCCTTACTTAAGGCCACCGTGGGAACGTGCTGAAACGAGCAGTGTTCCCTTTGCGTTCTTTCTGAGGCGAGCTATAAAGCCACCCCCCCCCCCTTCACTCCGCCCAAACCGCATTTAGTCTTCCGCTTTTGCGTCGCGAAGAAAAACTACTCGATACCCACTGTTCCAAGCAAACACGAATTAATCTCATTCGAACCCAGCTGGTTTGAATTCTCTTTTCGCTTTCATCGAATGATTGAAAACTGGATAATATTTAGAGTTTCATATCTAGGCGTGGAGAGGTGGCGTGATCTACGCCGAATTTTTCAGTGAGCGCGAAAAAGTAACTGCGGTAAATTGCGGCATCCCTTCCCTTTGGGATATTGAATATTTGACGCCAAACCTTTAAAAAATGGTGAGTATTTCTTCTGAACAATATGAGGCACAATTCGTTATTTGTCTACCTAAAAACAAATATTTTTATGAGTTCTCCCGTTTCAACTTGCTTTAAAAGCTAAGCGTCGGATCGTATGTGGTGTTCATTTGGTCATGTAGAGGAGATTGGGGGTCGCGGAACATCGTCGACGGTACAGTCTTGTCCGCTTCAGATGATGCGGGCCCGACAGGGCGTAATTGAGTATGGTGCCGACCGCAACTCGTTTTATTGGTTTATTCGATTCGGCAAGCGGCAAGCGACATCCTATACCACTAACCGTGCATGTCACCGTTTATCCACACGAGTGTTTGTCGCCGCTTACTAGCTTCAACAACTGATGGAGAACGGACTGGCGGCGCGTTGAACCTAAGTTACTGACACGCCCCATCATTCCCAGCAAACGTGACAGTAACAGTAACTCAAAAGAAGATGGTCCTTCTAGAAAACTGTTTCCGGGATGCTGCCTAGCGTTGGACCAAAGCCAGAGACTCGCATGACTTCCACACCAAGCAATGCTTGGTAACTGTGTCAATCCAGCTGGCAACTTACAGGGCGAAAGGCCAAAAGAAGACACTGCGACCGAGCCACATATCAGTTCAAGTTTAACAGCAACACAGCTCATACATTATTTTTTAGATGTTCGGTATGCAGTACCAGGGTAGATTGACCCAAAGATGTTCCTCAATAAGCCGAAGCACCGCTTCTCGTCCGTCCTCACCCTTCATATACACCGCAAATATGGAAGTCATCCGCAATCCAAGCTGGCGGAGAAGGCCTGTGGAACTTCACTCACTCCAAACAGATGCGAACTTCTTGTATTCGAGTCATCCCATTCGGACAGCCTACTTGTTGGACCGGCCCACCCTCGATCTGGGGAGGGCGACCTTTCAACATCGAGCAGCTCCGAAAACGTCCAGGATATCATTTCGATAAAGTGTTCACTTGTTTCGCTTCGAAAGTCGAGGAAAAAAGTGTTTTTTTTGGCCCGCCCGTAGATAGAAAATATTTTACCTAGAAACCCCCCACAACGAATAGCTTAACGACCGCGAAGCCGCCGACCATGTACGCCTCAAATGCACAAGGCAATGGGACGATGTTCTCCAACAACTTCTATTTTTACTTATGCTCGTTTCGCAGTGAATCAGTGGAGGGGCTGCTGGTGATAAAGACAGACCTCTTATGCAGCCGAGGAGAAAACGGCTTTCTTGTTGCGGTTTAGGATTTTATATGGTTTACTATCATAAGAGGTTGCTTTAGCCGGTCTCTTCTCAATGCCTAAGATGATTTTTTCTCCAAACGACTTGATGATTGACCGTGAGAACTCACGGCGACGATTTTGTCATTCAGTTTGCAAGTTGAAAATGGGCGGAAAAAATTGGACGGCTCTGCTTTTTTTCTTGTTGTTGTCAGAATTTACAATGGAATGATTCAAAGGAGGGCTGAGAAGGGCGGGTCATATGAGCCGGATCTCTGTCCGTATGGTACATAGAAACGAGCCGTATTTTTGCGCCAGGGCACATCGTTGTTGGGGAATCCCCAATAGCGGGGGGGGTCGTGTTTGGGCTGAGAAAAATTTATTTTGATGGTTGATTTTCATGGACGCTTGCTAAGGGAAGGGGTCGTATTTGATCATTTTTGGGAGGCGTGGGGGCGCGGCGTATTCACGTTTTGGCCGTGCTTGGGAGTGGCGTGTTGACTTTTGTGTGATTTTTCTCAGCGCTTCCCGTTCATTCTCCCGGCCTAGTTTCAAAACGTGTTACAGACACGGCATTCCCTGTGGGACCCAAGTGCCACGTACTTTCGTCGCCGTGAATCTAATTTCTTCTAGACAATTCCATCATTTATTTTCTTTTCTTCTTTATTGTTTTTATTTCTTGCCGGATCCCTTCTCTTTTCCATCTTATCAGTACTGTAGATGTGTAGAAGTTTTCAGAACATGGGTGCGGTGAAGGTGATCAAGAACAAGGCGTTCTTCAAACGTTTTCAACGTTAAAAATAAAAAGGCGGCCAGACACATTCGTTCAAAGGCAAAACGGATTATTATGCAAGGAAAAGGCTCACAGTGCAAGACAAAAACAAGTATAACACCCCGAAGTATAGGCTCGTCGCTCGTTTCACCAACAAGGACATTGTGGCCCAGGTGAGATAGTGCAGCTGTACCCATCGAAGGCGCGGCTTCGTTTACATTTGTCTGGGCCACAGAATGTTTTTCTCCGGAATTATTTTTTGAGTTACAAGTGAAAACTTCACATCCCGCCATTGTTTTCTTTCCCATTTTCAGATTGCTTACTCGAAGATTGAAGGAGACGTCAGTGGTCACTGCTGGTATTTCGCACGAATTCCCGCATCGTATCAAGGTTCGCCGTCATTTACATTTCAATTAACCTTCTCGATGATTGTGTCAGTACCAGACACCGAAAATTAGTGAAGTTTAGTATATTGAGTGAATAAGTCACGAGTTTTAGTGAGTTTACGCCCACCGCTCCACCAAACAACAACTGAGCGCCCTGCGTTAAGTGTAATGAGAACATTTTCGGTGGGCGGTACAACTGGGGAGGCGTCGGAGCTGTCACCTGGGAGGGCCGCAAACCCTCCCTATTTCCTGTAAAGCCTAGAATGTGGATTATTCTCAGCGCGCTGCGCTTCAAACTTCTTGAAGAAGGAAGGACCCCTACAAATTAATTGAAGAGGGGAGGCTTGTCTTTAAGGAAAAACTGCGGCATAAAAGTAACCGTGAGGTTACGGTGGTCACCCATTTGTCTATAACCTATCAGAGTTGTCTTTCAAATAATTTAAGTTTTAGGTTGGTCTGACAAACTACGCTGCTGCGTATGCCACTGGCCTCTTGCTCGCTAGACGCCATCTGAAACAATTGAACTTGGATGAAACGTTCAGAGGGCAAGACGAGGTGAGGTTATGCTTATATTTCTTCTCTCATACGCAGGATGAAAATTGACCAGTTACAGGTTACCGGTGAGTACTTCATTGTCGAAGACGAAGGTGGTCGGCCAGACCGTTCAAAGCGGTTCTGGATGTTGGATTGTCGCGAACAACGACTGGTTGTAAGATTTTCGGTCTCATGAAGGGTGTCGTAGATGGTGGCATCGACGTGCCACACAGGTGGGATCGTCTTACATTTCGTGATCGAAAGACAAGTCTCGGCGTTGAGGGCCATGATCCCACGGAAATAATCCCCTTTTTGGTACAGTTAGTATCGTCGCAGTTGGTCGGGGCGGTATGAGGAGTTGAATGGCCACACGTTCGCTGCGTGTTCTACCGCTCATATCACGACTCCTGACACCGCCCGACTGTTTGAACAATATGAACTGCACTTTCCTCCTGCCGAAAACGGAGGGGTGTGGCTTTGTACTCCATTTGGTTTCTGCGTTTTGATGGAAATGTGGCCGTTTGCTCCATCTTCGGGATATGAAGTGTAGGTGTTTATAGCCCTATTAGCCGGCAAACTGTTTGGCTGTTGTCAACCAGACGTGCTCTCGCTGCGAGGGTCCAGGGGTATTTTCACGAGGCATCTACCAGTCCAGTAGTTGAAGAGAGAAGGTAAAGGAGGAGGGATCAGAGAAGAAAGGAAGGGAAAGAAGGAAGCAGGAAGAAAAAGGAAAGAGAGGAGAGGCTACCCGGTTGACAAGTGCCCTGAAGGACGTGGTTTGGCATCATGTCCTTATTCGGTGAGATGAAAGGAGTGGTGGCAAAGATGAGCGACAACACCACTCCATTCCCCCTCCCCCTCTTCAAAATGGTCAGTATTCCCTAGCTAGACGACTGTAGCTGTTCCACGTTAAGACGATTAGATCCTGGTGTGAATGCCGTAGCCCTGCCGCATACGCCTCGCCGCAACGCGGATCTTCTGCCCTCCACCGTCTGGCCCGTTTAGACCTGATTTTCTGGTGGCGTTATTTTTAAATGGGGCTGAATTTCGTCCCGGCAGTGACTTTAGCTCCCCTATGCGGTGACTGTGCGCTGGTATGCCGTATATTTTATAGCAAAGCGCCGAAGCACAATAGTCTTTACTGGTTCTCTTTAGGTGGATTATGTTCTGCAGATAATTAAATTCTGTGGGCTACGATGGCTGGGGCGGGCGATAACTGCCAGCGTCATTCGCGGAAGGGCTGAGAAGGCGTTTGGCCACGCCCCACTCAGTTTTCCACCAGTGAAGTTGGCCGTAATTGTCCTCCCCCTAGTCAGCATGCCCACTGCCTGCAAGGGAAGTTTATTGCATGCACCTAAATTGATAACTTTCAGCGAGAACCGTTTCTTCGGGTACGATGCTGAGACGAAGAAATACGACGCAGCAGCGCATCGTGATCGCATTTTTGGCAAACATGTGGCCGACTATATGAAAATGCTCAAAGAAGAGGATCCGGACGCTTACAAACGTCAATTCTCTCAGTACATCGCTGAGGGCATTGAGCCAGACGATTTGGAGGAGGTTTGTCTGGTTACTTTAGAGTTGCCATCTGCTGTGCAAGTGTGCGTCGGACAGCTTTGCTTCTCCGGTCCGCAAGTCTCCCAGCAGCTCCCATCCCACAGCGGCCAAATACGATCCCACGCTGGGTTCCAGTTTCTGCTTCCTGTTCAAGGCGCCAGTGCTCTGTACTTCACCCTCGCTTACAGCGCCTGTTCCGCGGCAACTGGGAAGTAGTGCTCCACTTCGTCCAGCTCACGATAGCCTATTGAGAGCACCATTATCCCGGCGCAGTGAGGGCTCCCTCCAGGTCCCTTGTCACTTCACCCTACTCTAACTATTCGAATGGAATGAGCTAGTAGCGGAACAACCGCACCACCATACAGTCCTCAGGGAATAAACGTTAGGCGTGGCACAGGGCAGTGGGCGGTTCATTACCTCCGTCGCGCTTGAGTGGCGTTTTACCACTTAATTTTCGGCCGCGGCACTATTATAAATTTTGTAGCTATAACGAACTTATGACAGAAGGTATTGATACACTTCCTCATTTCGTGACAACTGTGGTTTAAGATATACAAGAAAGCCCACGAGCGCATTCGAAGCAATCCAGAACGTGCTGCTCGAGCGCCGAAGAAAGTAACTGAGAAGAAAAGGTAATGGTAGATGTGATTCATATTCAACTGACTCTTACTTGTGACTTTACTATTGACAGCTATCGCATTCATAAGATCAGTTTGGATGAGAGGAAGAAGCGTATCGAGGAGAAGAAAGAGCTGCTCCTCTTGTTGAAAAAACAGCAAGATGCCGCAATGTCGTGAATGAACGGACAGTTGTTGATTTTCGAAGATAAAGTTGTTGAATTTGCATATTGTCTTGTTTCAGTAGAGCAGGAAACAATCGTAACAGTAGGAGAACAAGGGTAAAATGAGTAAAATGGCAGTAATGCAGTTGAGTAAGCCTCACTGTGAAAGTAAAAGATGATGACGCAGCGTTTCAAGGAAATACGGGAAATGAAAGCTGACTTGGCGTCGAATTGTGATTGCGATCGACTTGTTTTGTTTGCCTACCTCCCTGTGCGTGTGTACTGTTCCTAGTCAAAGAAGAGCGAAATTTGTTTGACTGGTACCAGTTAGTCCCGAAGGATGAATTCTTCAAAGGAAGTTTTCAAATATGACCCCTTCAACTCTACCGTGGTGACATTAGTGATTGCACCAATTGATTAACAATTGGAATTTCATTGGACGTGATCTGCTGGGCGGAGTCACCCTAAGCACAAAGTTCAAAGCAGGAGTTCACGTTTCACTGATGCAGTCCGCATACTTTCTGAGATGCGTTAAGGTTGGTTGAGCAGGTCGCTTTTCGCTGGCAGGCGTTGGGCGTGTCAGTGGGCCTGAGTCTGGCGGCACGTCAGTTCATTTCCACTGCGTTGTCGCTTGCTCGCTCGCAACAATTTTGTGGAGAACGGACTGGCATCGCGCCAAACCTAGCTCTCCTGACACGCACCCCTTCCCACCCCACAAACAATGGGTTCGATGCTATACCTCAGCTCTAGGGTATAGCATTGTGATGGGAGAAATTGGCCGTATCAGTGCCCTCTCCCCCCCGCTCAAAATGGCTTTCTCTAGTAGACAGCACCTTCCCGATCCTATTTACTATCTAACAAAGTCTCCCAACTCTTGTATTTTCAAAGAAATTTTCCAGAAAACGTTCCAGCTGGTGGGTCGGAGGAGGGAGGGACGCTAATCAGCTTGCGTGAATCATCGATCAGAAAAATAATTTATGGGATAGTTGTACATAATAGTACCCTGGGGGCGAACGTCTAGAAGTAGCGCAAAAGCGAGACACTGAATGGAAAAATCTGCGAAAAAGTCAGCCAAATCGCGAAAATCCTCTGGCATGCGCACTACGTAAGGAATTTCCTCTCAAAGCTCGAATACGATCCGGCTAGGAAACTTGGGGATTCTGTCACTGATGTTGTGGCTTCATGATTGCCACGAAGGTCAGAAGTGGAAGCTGCCATAACGCTGGTTGGATTGCGGCGCGAAATTCTTCCCTGGCTGCTTTCGCGCGAGTTACTCAGAGGTAAACAAAGGCGAAGACCAGTGCCTTCCCACTGCGAAAATTATTCCATCAAGCTGAAGATCAGAGGCAGCAGGGGAGAAACCTGGGATCAGACTTCGCTTATTTGAGAAGTCGCATGTAGTACTGAGGTCAGAGTGCGGCGTTTCAGGAGGCTGGAGTTTGGCACAACACCAGCCAGTTTTTGGATTTCAGTAGTCGCATGGCAGCCTAGAGGGCCGCGCTCACGTCAGTTACTGTAGCGCTTCAGCATCCACACCGAAAGGGATTGCGGCTTGCCCAAAGGCTCCGGAAGTGCTCAAGGGATGCACAGCCGTGCACTACCATGAGGCCGTCCGCATGAAGTTTCTCGAAATCGAATGGTGATCACATCTGGATATGTATCACCGTTGCTGTGATAGTAAACAGTGAAGAACGAAGAGGTAGTTTCAATTCCTATCGAACTCCGACTAGAAGATGGCGGACAAGTCCGCGTTCGTGCCCGTGGAGGCTGTCACAGATAGGAAAGGTTCCGCTGAAGTCGAAGCTGACATTGATGCTGAACTGTTCGGGAAAAAGGTAAGGATTCTCAACTGCTATTCTGCTCATGTGTCTTTAAATCGTGGGTGGTGTCTGTAAATCCGAGATGGCCATGGGGTGTTCAAAGCTCGCAACCGTGCACTACTGCAGCGTTCTAGCACCATAGGCATCTGGACGCGCCAACAGTTCTTTCGGAGAGCTTGTGCAGTGAAAATTTGCGAAAGTTCGCCTTAATGCCAGCCGGCTTCTGTGTTTAGAACACGTTGGGGAGCAAAGGGGTTTCATCAAGTGCGCCTAACGGCTGGTCCTCATCGCAGTGCCGATCCTCATTTCTCACAAATACGTCACTGCTTGTTTCTCTCTGGATCCTCGCAGTCATCGGGTAAACGCCCCCTTTTGCTCTCGGATATAGACTGTACCTGCGCGCACGGTCGCTTTCGAGCTTTGATCGTTAGGAGCTGCGCCGTAAAAAGATCCAGGATGAGTTCCCAAGCCCAAACAACCGCTTCTACCAAGAACCGACTATGAGATAGCACTTCCGTTGATAAAAAGATGTTGATGACGAGAAGAGTGATAAGCTTTGTTGACTGTTCGATTGATAGAAGAGCGTGCCCACAGTAATTTGCTTTCCTTTCAGGCGTCTGAAACAAAAGTTCAGGTCAGTTGGGAAAACGTCTGTCGGCGGTAGCTGCTTCACTTTTCTTTTGAAGATTTAATTAAATAAAAAGGTTGAATTCTTCTTTTGAAGAGGTAAGCTAACATACTATGAGAGATGCTGCATGATATGGAGGCACTGTATGCCTCGGTGAAGACATTCTGTGATTTTCCGTGGGGTTACGCTAGTCTGCAGCTCTCAGGAGGAGAGAACGTTTCGAAATGATTGATTGAGGCAGTTCGCTACTGTCACCCGGCACTCGGAGATTTTCCCTTTTCCGCCTCAAAGTAGTTCACCTGTGGTGGAGCCTCCTCCGTCGAAAAATGCAGACTTTCGTAACTCTCGAGGATTTGCAGACGGTCTCTTCTGCACACTGCTCTTGATCAAGGCTTCATAGCAGATAATCTTTCCAGATTTTCGAATACCAGGAAAAGCTAGCAGGTGCGGCTTATACAATCGTGCATTTTTCCAGGGAGAGGCAAAGTCACCGGCGGCAGCGCCTCCACCACCACCACCGCCGCCACCAGCACCGCCAAAACCGGGGAAGTATCAATACAAAAAGTCGACAACTTACCAGAAATCGTATGCGTATGCTAGAAAGTGAATAAACTTAGCTTCTGACTGATTGATGTAACGCTGCGTTGCGATGAATTCCCGGCGATCATTTAAATGCAGATAATAAAAATGATAAAAACCGTTGATTATTGACAGCTTATTGATCTGTAGCGACATCAGGATATGACCTTATAGGATGCCATCAATTGTTTAAAAAAGTCAATAAAGAGCTTCACGAATTGGTTCTGGTTGACCACAGAGCTCAGCGGTGGTCTTACATATAGCCCACTCACTCGAGACGTTCAACATATTCTGCGTATATCAGGGGGGGGGGGGGCAAAAAAAGTCATTCCGGACCGGAGTCCACATATGACCAAAGTTTTCCGCAGCCAGACAGAGGACGTATGGATACAGTATACCAGGGAAGATACCCAAGATCTTCCTCTATAAGCAGGAGCCGGCTGCCGCCATTCACCTTCATGTACACCAAAATATGAAGTCATCTCCAGTCGCGGCCTGAGTGGAGAACGCCTTTGGAATTCACGTGGCTCCCGTTAACAAGCCTGCGGAACTCTATACATGTAACAGCCCATGATACTACCTGGAGACCAAGTTACTCTTGATAATGGCAAGACCTCAACCATCGAGCAGACTCCGGTCAACGTCGCTCGCCGGTTCAGGACATCATCTTTACACCGGCCATTCACCAAGGCGCGGGTTGATGGTGTGGACCGGCCGTACCTGGAATGGATGAACCGATATTTTCTTCGTGGGCCCCAGACTGAGGGTGTGCGCTGGTGGCTACATCGAGCAACTCGAGGAGAATATCCCATCTTCATGTCGTCGCCCGTACCTTCTTGGAAACTTTGTACTGCTACAGGATTGGGTGACAACACATTTAATCGAAGGGCGTTGGAAAAACTTTCGCCTACTTGGAATGGAAGAACGTTGAGTACCTGGAAAAGATGGAGTATTTAAGCGGGGGTCCTGAACTAAACCCCCTCAATTACTCGGTTCGGGCGGAGCTCAACAGGGTGGTCTACAGTGGCGGAGAAAATCAACGATCTTCGCTAACCCCGGTCTCCACTCAACTTCGCCGGCCGAATCTCTCGATGGCGCTCCTCCAGAAGGCTGTGGCGGAGTATCATTATAGTATTTAATGTGCTCTTTAATATGGTAGTAAAAATGTCCGATAAAAATTTAATAAAGTGTAACTTATAGCGCCTTGAAAGTCATGGAGGCAAAATGACTTTTTTTTGGCCCCCCCCCCCTGTATACAGTCCTCATCATTGCGGACCCGCGGCGGTGGGGCGTGGCACTGCGACTGCATTTAGTGCGGTTTGGCG